GTCTTCTCGCTTCCAGCCAATTCCGTTTTCCTCGTAATGGATTTAGCCTTTACGCTTAAAACATCTTCGATCTCTGCCTCTTTACTAGTAATTAATGAATTACTATCTTCTATTTGACGATTAATATCAACGAGTTGAGATTCGATCAACTCCTTCCTGACTTCCAATGCATTCCGACTTTTTAGTAACTCTTCACGTTGTGCATTAAAATCAAGTTGCATTTTTTCATAATCGCTTTCGAGCCGTTCCTGGTCTTTAATATGAGATCGAATGTTGGAGAGTTCTCTCTCCTCAGCTTCAACTTTAGACCGTATTTCATTTAGAGTGGCTTTGGCAGCCTCAAACACTTCTAATTCTGCTCGAATTGTTGCAATGTCTGGATGTGGTGCGACACCTGGAACAGGACCAGGACCAGGACCCACTTGCACTTTAGTATTTGTAGAGCTAGGGTTTGAAACAACTTTATCTTGTAGTATTGTAGCACCAGAGCTCGGGCCAACTTGATCATGTGAAGTATTCTTTTTCTTTAAACTTTCCATTTTACTTGCAATTAATTCATTCATGCGCTTAATCTCACGTTCCTTTTCCTCCAACTTTTTTTTTTGCATCTGATTGTGCCTTCTTTTCATCTTCAGTTTCTAATTTAGAATCTGCACCAGTATCCTTTTTAAAAGACGATTTAACTTGTTTAATTAATCCAGTAATGCGTTCATTGTCAGATTCATCGCTTAAATCGATGACATAATTTGTCTCACGAGTGGCTAAAAATGGGTTTTGATTATTATTTGAACTCGTATTTCGAGATTCATCGCTTAAATCGATGACATAATTTGTCTCACGGGTGGCTAAAAATGGGGTTTGATTAATATTTGAACTCGTGCTTCCATGAGTAGGTACCTCTATGGGTGTTGCTGGTTTACGGACAGGGATACTAAATACGGCAAGATGTGGTGGCAACGGATAATTTATCTCACGAGAAAACCTGATAACAACATCCACAGGAATCCCCTCTTCAATTATGTCATCGGGTGTAGCAGACAACCGGTATAAGTCAGCTAACAATTTTCTCGTTAATTCTTCTTCAGCATATTTTGAATCTAGATTTATGAAAAGAATAAACGCATATATTGATGTAAACATTTAATCGGAAGATGAAGAGTTGAATTTTGTGTGGCTAGTCCTATTAAAAAATTGAACAGGAAATTATTCATTCCAACGAAAGTCTATCACTAACCAAAATCCACATGAAAGATTTTATTTCCTGTCCCAGGAAATTAATATCGAACCTTTGCGAAAAAATATCGTACTTGAAATCATAAATTTTTAAAAGATTTTCTCTACTTAATTGCTTATATAAAATTAAAGGTAAATACCCACCTAGACAAGGCTGTTGGTAGGATTGTTGTTGATCTGTGGTGTTAGCCATTAATACAGTGGTTTCCTCACTTTTATGTTGAAAACCGTTTTCCCTAGAAGGTTCATTGTAACCGTTTATTGAATCTGAATCACTTAATTCGCCTTCCTCTCTTTCAGAAAAGTTGCCGTCTTCAATCATAACGTCCTCAGCAGTAACTTGATTCACAGATGCTGGTTGCATGATAGGCGAATTTGTATTGCTAGATACATTTGCAACAGGAAAATCGTATTGAGTCGAGCTCTCATCGACTTTTGACTTCTCCTTCCTGGGATTTCTCGTCGAAAGAGCAGCTAATCTTAGTGCTTCTATTTCTGGAGGCATGGGTGTTGCTTTCTTTTCATTTAATTTAGTTGTCATTTTACGTAATGGAACAGAAAAGAGAAGTGAAAATTTGCTTAATCTGACGATCCTGTACTGCGATCATAAATCACGGTGTTAAAGCATGATGCATGATAGAAATCAGATTGAATTTGATTGGTTGTGTATCACATGCTATAACAGTTAATAACATTAATTACAGTATACTAGAGCGATGACGACAAATTCTCAAAATCCCATCCAAACCCACATCCCATCCAAACCCACATCCCACCCAAACCCACATCCCATCCAAAAACCCAAATAGAGCTTCGACCCTATTCTTCAGGCTATTCGTATTAAATTTAAATTCTCTTTAACATCTGGAATCAAGATGACTTAATTAAGCAGCTAGCTAATAGCGATAGTTGAATTATTACGAAGATAATATCAGAATTGGTAAAATTTTTCTCATCGATTATTTGGACAACTTTTGTAAATTAGTTGCGATTAGTTTTACATGTTTTAGTTTATCGGCTAACTCGCTTATCACCACGCTTAGGCTGATCAGCACGCTCACGTTCAACATCACCATTCTCTCGAAACAGAGAGCTCATGTTCATCAACATGAACGCTGATGACTTCTCGAATGAAACAAGCAGACAAAGTTTCGGTCTGGCTTACCGATTTAAGATGGCGATAGGGGCTCTCGAATCGAGTAAGCCTGTAAATTCGCCATCGATAAAAAAAACAATGTGATGACAGATTTGGAAGATATCCGGAGCCTTTATATCAAATGCAACAAGACACTGTAGAAAATTTGAGAATATAGATGTAAATTATTCTCAGGGTCAAGATCATATTTCACAGGATTCATCTACGAGCTGAAGCTGATATTAACCATGTTAATGGTCGGGACCCATATCCGTGAGAACTTTGACCCGAAATATATGTCAAAGTCTATTCAAGACCTGCTGGAAAAAATCGAATACATCACTCTACAGGTATTCAATGAAAGATTAATCATACTTACGTACGATTTCTCGTATAGCCCCATGAAAATACGAGAAAAGTTGATTGACGTCGTAATCCCAATTCGCCCTACAGTAAAATTTGGATTATGGAATTACAACACATTATTCAAATTTATTGCCGAAATTAAAAATTACTTGTTTAGAAAGAATTGCCAATCAGCTTAATAATAAGGCACTAATCAGAAAAGAGACATTTTATTTTAAGTTCATACACTTAAAATTGTACAATATACTGGCAAGATGGTCAGTTATAAAAAATATTTACATTTATTACAGCATCAATAAGATAGCTGCGCGACGTTGCCATACAAAACTAGGAGCGGAAAATATGAAAAGGATTACATTTAATAAATTTATAGGTTGTTGCACTATTGAGGTGTGTGATGTATGACTATTATTCAATAAAATCAAACATATGCCTAGTGTTTTGACCCGGGTGGGTATCACCCGGGTCACCCGCGGGTGGGTGGGTCACCCGGGTTGAATCATTACAACC